TTGTTATTTCAATAAAATATCATTATGCCAATACTTGGATTATTATGTTATTTAAGTGATATTAAGTCAAATTTTATGCAAACTATAGCTAAATACTATGCACTTTAAAGATACTAATTTGTTATTTTATAAATATTGTAATGCCAATACTTACATATGACGATATGTAATGATTGTTGTAAATTATATATATTGATATGCTGATATTTTATTTTTAGCAATATAAAGCCGAATGTTATACTTTAATAAGAAGCAATATTCATCTCTTTTATAAATATCATTATGGTGATATTTATTTTGCTGATTTTTAATCAATTTAAAAATGAATATAGTCTTTTAAAAATTGCAATATTCAGCATTTATACAAATATCAAAATACCGATTCTTGTTAATTTTGCCAAATATTGTGACTAGAAAAACTACAATATTCAGCATTTATATTAAAATTTTTTCTAAAGTATCATCATTTGCCATATTTTTTCAATACTTTATTGTTATATGCTGAATTTTTGCTAATTGCTGCAGTACTGAATATTCCTATTTTGACTAGGCTAACTACTGCTCTATGAGTATTAGATAAGTACAAGTTGAAAACAATCTAATAACAAACTCATTCACAGCACAAATCTAATATTGGCCCTTATTATATAAAACAGAATTACTTGCAATATTATCTGCAATTAGCATAGCTTCTCGTAATTGCAAAATTGATATTTATACAGATTTATAATCTGTAATATACAAATATCAAAAGCTTACCTAAACAACAACAAATTCTTCACACTCCTACTTATACAACTGTTGGCCAATCTGGCATACAATACTTAACCTCATTAAATCCTACAAACTCTCAATAATATTTTACAAAGTACAGGCTTATAGCAATGATGATTTAAATTAAGCAGCTAATACACTAACACAAAATTATCAAACTTTACTACTTCTTTAATTCAAACATATTAACTTATATATTCCTAACTTTCAGATTATATAAGAAAACTTTAACATCGAACAATCTACATATAAACTTATCAAAACAATATGCAATGCTCATATTATAGCAATATGGTCATCACAAAATCATAACCAAACATAAGCTTATCTATATAACCAAATTAACTAGAATTCAATATAGTTATATCTTAATAACAACAACAAATGCACACACAAATTTACTAACTTCAAATTTAGTAAACTCAAAACTTTCTGTATTAAACTTCTATATAATAAACTACTTATACTATCATACCTACAAAAATATTATTCAAATATGATATCAAATAACAAATGTTTTAAATACAAACAAATTAATTCAGAACTCCAATGGATTACAAATCATAACAATAATATTTTACAAGAAATTATTTCACAATCAGTAAATAAAATCTTTCATATCGCAAACTTAGAAATTACTTAACTTCAACTCAATATACTATGAAACTCAATTACTCATCACTCTTCATTCCAATTATTCTCATATAACTTTAATACTATTAGTTTAAATACTTCACTCAAAGGACTTTTACTATATATACTAATTTAATTAATTCAACTATATACTAATTCACTTCATGTTGCTTTACAGCTAATTATTAAGTTATTCCTTAAAATTAACTCAAAAATTTATGAACAATTGTGGCTTTCATATTGTTCTGAATATGCAAACTGAAAGCAACAATATAATATTAATATACCATATTTAAACTCTCAATCAAATTGAAGAAACTACTAACAAACCTCATATATCTCTCAAGAGCTATATGACCTATATAGCCTTCACCTTAATATAACTATATTTCACTAACTAAACTTGCTATACAAAAACTTTTATCTTGGCCATTATATTAGACTAAATATAGCTTTTCACAAACTCTATTCTTTCTAATCAAATTTAGGTGAGTCTTGACTATTCTAGTAGATTTAAGTTGCAGATAATTCTAAACTAGTCTTAGCTTTAAGTTTACTTTAATTAAGTAGTTTATTATCATCTGAACTTCAATTCTTGTATATAATTTATTATCAGGTAGTTTTATGTAAACTCTTAACTATATCTTACTCAAATAAAGATAGAGGCAAGATCTCATCTCAACCTGCAAAGGTTGAAATTAAAAAAAAAAGTTATAGTTTTTTTTTTGATATTAAGGTAAGTACTTAGTTCAATTTGTTTATTAAAAATTTTGTTATCTATTATAACTATTTTTTTTTAACCTTTTCAACAAGTATGCCAATACTTTATTTGCAATAAATTTTGTACTTAACAAAAACAATTAGAATATATAGTTATTCTAAATATATCTAACTATACAATTTTTTAAACATTGACTTATCTGGTTATTCTAAAGGTACCTATATATGATCTGCTATAGTGAGTCTTTTTTTTATCATTACTATTTAATCTATTGAAAAAATAATAATAAATCATTGAGTAGATACTGCAGCCTATTATGACTTCTCACCTATATAATAGGCTATTACCAAACTAATAATAGCTTCTCATATAGCAAAAAGAATAAATAAAAATTATATATATAATAAAAGATATAATAGTCATATGTTATATAATAAAGTTATATAGAAGAAACCTGCTAACAGATAAAAACCTCTAAACAACAGACAAATAAAAGAAAAAAAAGAGATAAAGTTCTATCACAAAAAGTAAAAAACTAAATAAAAATTAGATATATATAATATTTAAGTTATTCTTTAAATTCTTAAAGGAGTAAAGTACTGTCTTATAGAGAGAATAATATTAATATGAATTTTTTATAACATATGTTAAACTTAGTATATGTTTATTGTTTGTGTATAGTGTAAGAAACAACAGACTGATATCTAATAGTATTTATCAATATATATTGTAGATCTTTTAGAGAGAATAAGCCAAATCCCTAAAAAATACTAAATGATTTAAAGAAAAATTCCAAAAGACAAGTTCAGAAGGGCTACTTTTAAGAGAGTAAGATTTTGCTACCTTTTTTCTTATTAAATATTACAAATATATATTATAACTAGCTATCTCTGTGCTAGCAGACTACTAGTGAGTATTACTTGAAATAACAAAAATATTTGACAATTCTTACTTCTGCTACTACTTTTTTGATAGTACTCAAGAATTACTTCTAGATAATGCAGCTAAAAGGAGCTTATAAGAAAGGTATTCACTCACAATATATCATAGAAAACTTAGGAAAGAGTATTATTATCTGTATAATAAAAAAGTATTTTTACAAGTCAGATTTTTTTTCAGAAAAAAGTTGTTAAAGGATCAATAAAAAGAATTAATTCATATTTATAAATTTTATTGTCTATTACAACTATTATATTATAATTTTAAATTAAGTTTATATATTCTAATTAAGCTTAAGATATATAGTATATGTATATATACAAACTTATATACTATTTTATCTTCATACTATGCCTACTAGAATAGCCTATAGCTTATACTATATATTATCTAGATTTTTATAAGTTTTCTTTTTTCAAATACTATATATATTTATTTTATTTCTTATACTTGCTATAAGTAATTTCTAAATTAATAATAGCTAAGCTTAAAATATTTATAACTTTATAGCTACTTCTAGTTTAGTGAGATTTAGAATTATCTTATAGATTCTACTCAGATATAATATTAAGTATAGCTTGCATATATATCAATATCTATTATTAGGTACTTCTGTATATTAGTAGATTCTAAGGTATATTTCATAATATATAGCTACTTATAGTAATAGATTTTGTAGTACAAATATATTACTACTACATAATTAGTGTTCTAAGAACTAGTATTCTCTTGTATTTTATATTACTACTACTAGCTTAGTATATTATACTATTTCAAATTTTTATATACATACTTCAAATATTAATTTACTCTTTATATTATAGTACTTACTTAATTAGAGAACTTATAGTTACTCTTGTTAATATTTGTATGAATCTAGTTCTTGCCATAGCTCCTAATCAAGTCAGTTCTCTATTTTTCTCAGATATTTTATGAAACAGATCCTCCTAAATCTAGTTAGCTGCTATGCCAAATTGGTGTTGCTATTCATATAATAGACTTACTTACATCTGCTCAATCTACATTCTCCATTTACAAATTTCTTTAACTAGATTAAGCATTAACTAGTATGACTATTGAAGTCTGTATTACTTCATTTAATTCAAGGTTTCTACTATGCAGTTTCTTTGCCTATAGATCTTATTAAGATTTATTTGTATAATATAACTTAAACATTGTGTTTCATATTTCTAATATCTAATTAATATTAGTGTAATGTAATTTACAAGATTATAACCCTCAGAAACAGACAGAATTTACTATAAATTGGGTACAGAGGTTCAGGTAATTATTCAAATTTATTGACAGTGAGATTTGAACCCCAGACCTCTTGCATAGCAGTCTAGCAACCTAATCACTACACTAAGATCACCAGACTATTAAAAGTTATAGTTTTAAATTTAATAATTTATATAAACATTTAACAAAAAAATCAATTTTATTCTGAATTAACTTATATTAATAAAAATTTAAAACTATAACTTTTTTTTTACAACATTATAATAATCATTCGCTGCAAACATCCTCAGAAAAAAATTATTAGTACGCGAGGTAATCAATTTTTAAAATACTAATATTTTGATCTATGCATAAAATCTGTACTATCAATTTTTGCTATAACTCCTTACATAGATTTGATTATTAGTATATGAAATACCCCAATCAATGATGCAGTTTGAAAAAACTGTGCTAGATTTTAAGATTTTAACTTCATTTAGTTCTATAAATCTTTCCCGTTTCACTAGTTACTTGGTACGTAATACTTTATGTTACTGTATCATCAATATTTTGCTGATGTATTTTATTCTACAATTGCCATACACTAAATTTCAGTGTTACCAGTGTATGCGCTTACAATTATAACTTTAACCTTGTTAAACGTTCGCAAGAATAATGCTTACCCAGTATTTGTTTTTTTTCGTCAAAATTTTAGATGGGCACACAGGTTACACCCGTGAAACGTTATACAAGAATTTATTATAAAAAAAAAATTAAATTAGATTAAATTAAATTAATGACAACTCTTCCCTTAACCGGTAGTAAGCGAGGTGCATTAATAGTATTTGAAGGCTGTGACCGCACTGGAAAATCAACGCAAACGGAAAAATTAGTTGAATATTTAAATGAGCATGGATTTACTGCAGTTAAAGGGAAATTCCCAGGTATAATAATAAAATTTGTTGTTAAGATTGATTATATTTATAATTAACATATCTGCAATATCTGTTATAGCGAGAAGTGTTGAACCAGTTGGACCAATAATTGATGATTATTTAAAGAATAAATTAGAATTAAGTGACAGGACAATTCATTTTTTATTATCAGCAAACTTATGGGAACAAGTGTATTATTAAAATATTTTTACTACTAGTAAGATATCTCGTGAACACAATAATTTTATATTTTAATTTATTTATAGGTCACACTTGAAGAATATTATTCTTAACGGCAAAACATTAGTGATGGATAGATATGCATATACTGGAGTTGCATATTTAACTGCTATGGTGCATATATATATTTTATTGGTATAATTCGAATTAAAAATCATTAAACCCTGTTATATTTATTCAGGGGTTGGATTTAAATTGGTGTAAAACTTCATACGTTGGCTTACCATCACCAGATATTGTTTTCTTAATGGACGTTCCATCAGAGGAAACTGAAAAAAGGGAAGAATTTGGTAGCGAAAGGCTTGACAATATTGAGATTCAAAAGAAAGCGAAAGATACGTATTTATCATTGATAGGCCCTGAATGGAAGGTGAGGTATTTAATTTCAATATATATATATATTTTTTATTACTGATCCATAAAAAAACTTTACAATTAGGTATTAGATGGACAACAATCAATTGATGAGCTTCATAAAAAAATTGCAAAGATTTCTTTAGAAGTCATCCAAAAATGTGATGCCTTACCATTGCGAGAAGATTTATGGAAAAATCCTTGATTAGTATTGGTTTTAACTTTGAATTCAATAAATTTAACTAATTAGGATTATTGTGCAAAGCTCTTCAAATTTGCATTTTTCATTCTATATAATAAAATTATATATTACGAGTAGGGATGAGAATCGAATCTTCGATAATCGGTTTAATCGTTAATCGAATTAGAATCGATTCTCATTTTTGTGTAATCGTTATAATCGTTTATAGAAACGATTACATATTTTTGAATCGATTCTTGAATTAGAATCGATTCTAAGCATATAATCGTTTTAATTATAATGAACTTTCACTTATTTTAAGTTATTTTA